TCCATGTGGCCACCATAAGAGTTTGGCACGGGAAAGCCAGTTCATTTGCACTTTTCTCCTGGAGAAACACGGAACTTCTCTATCACTCATAGCAGAGCAGCAGTAACCAGTATACAAATGGGAGTAAACAACGCAACCAACAGCATCTGACTTGCAAATTATTACATGATAATTAAAACAAATACAAGGGGGGATTCCCAAACTGTTGTGTGGTTTTTTTAAACTGCATTGTAAGATCTGGGCCATAACCAAACAACAACACCCCTGACCTTTAGCATATTCAAAGCCCTCGATAGCCACAGGATTGCTTTCCCAGCTCTCTCTTCCAGATCACAACTGAAAGAATACACACGCTTCAAAAATTTCTATCTGGATAATCCCACCCAGTAACTTCCCCTGACCTATTTTTATTCAGATAGATAGGCTCAGTTAGGTTTCTTTGAGTTCAGATCTTGAACCCAGCTCTGCTTTGTGTGTGCTGACTGGTTATTTCTAATGCATGAGCTTCCCTGCCCTACAGCAGCTAGAGATTACAATCGCTCATCAGGAAGACGCAACCTTAAAAAGAGCTTAGAACTATAATGCTTGCATGTTGGTAAACCTTAGCATTAAGAAAATGAATTGTATGTAGGCATCAGTGGTTCAAACACAAGCACTTCATCCCCTCCATCACACACAAAGCACTGAGCTCCAGCCTCTTCAGTTTGTTTCCTGCTGCCATTTCCTGTGGCAAGCCTAGAATGAGTCCTTTACAGACTTCTTGGTGGCAAGTTAATTGCACTAGCTTGTAGTTAGCATACAAGAAGGCAGCTAATTTCATAATGAAATCGCAATGTAATTTTGGGAGTATTCTTTATTCTCCAGGTATTTCTAGGGGAAAAATGACATCTATTGTGCTCTGTAACAGAAATGTAAAAACTGTTCATTATTGTTCTCAGAGTCATGTTTCTCTGTGTCACAATAATGAGCGAACAATTGCCTACAAAATCCAGAGGAAATTGAAGAATACTTTAAGTATCCATCTGAAGAGAAAAACCTAACTGACAGCTGTGAGCCCCAAGAGCAAATTACTCCGTTCTGTAAAACTCCAACACCGGCACCTGGCTCGCTGCAGGCACCTCCATACCCCAGGCCCTGGGTAGACCCAGCTGGTGGAATGTCTGTGAAACCCTAACAGGAGAACACCTCACTGCACAGATCTACTTGCACAAAAGTTTTTGGGAAAAGAAGGGATCTTGCTACTCTAATCTTAAATCCAGACAAACAAGCCAAACCAAGAACATCAGCAGAGTACAGCACGCCAAAAGCCATTAGATACTTGTCCACACCGCTGTTCTCACCCTTGCTGTTACTGGTAGAGCTAAACCTAGTGGCAAAGGTGGGAAATCAAATAGCGCTTGCTGGCACAGAGAAGGCTTGTGGCTGTTAAATGAAACTCAGAGAAAACTGTGTTTCCCCCGAGAGCTGCTGCATGTTCCTGCCCTCACAAAGGGACTGCTCTTACAGAGGCTCCCCGGGGCAGCATCACGAGCTGGGAGAGGACGCGACAGGCAGGGTCACGCGAGCAGCGAGCAATGCACCCACCTTCATGTTTATTGTGGTTTAGTTTGCTGCTGAGCAGCTTATCAGAGCTCTCTGCACACTGCTGTGCAGACAGAAGCTGCAGCAAGCAAACTCTCCCGGGTGAGTGCAGTATCCACCTCCTCCTTGCACCCAGCGGCATTTCTAATTGAGAAACTCGGCTGCAGAACCGGCCTTTTTTACTGTGTTCATGCAGCCTAACACAACAACAACCAGGCACGGAACTGTAATAATAATTTGAATAGTCCACAGTTCATAAAGGGAGAAGCTGAAAGTCACAGGTGAGTAAGATCCTAACTTTCAGACTGGCTGGGACACACATTAATCTGTACAAGCCCCGCAGAAAGGCTTTATTCTCCATCTACTGCATTCAGCCCCTGCACAATTTGCATATCCAGCTCATTTTCTAAACCTTCCTCATCTTAACGGGTATCAATTAAAGAAAGAAACCTTCACACTAAAAGCACTTCAGGGCATATCTGAAAGAGTTATTGCTGAATTATAAAGCAGTGCATGGACACACGCAGAACTACTGCCAAGCTTGCAGCAGGGCGCAGAGTCCCTCAGACACACTACAAACCACCAAACTGCGTACACACTTCTGATCCAAACAAAAGGTTTAAGTGTAGGCTTCCCAGCCTCCAAACATCCCCTCTGCCAATCATTTCTCCAAAGTCTAGCAGCCCGAGGTTGGCTGCAGAGGTAGCAGGGGAGCAGTGCAGGATATGGAATGCCAGCATGCAAATCCCTGCTCCAGACTGAGCGCTGCTGCTGGGCTAAGTCATGGCTCTCCACTACCAGGAGGTAAAAAAAGAGAAAAAAAAAATGCAGTTTCCCCAGTAGTGAAGAAAAGCTTTAGATTTAGTGTGGAAAATGTTGTTGTCCTTCTTACTTTCTAACATCTATTCCAGACAGAGCCTTCTCTACTCTCATACGGAAATAAGGGCTGGGCACTTCAGATGTTTCCTCGAAATGGCATTAAGAGCTACCTCCTTTTTAGTGTATCATCTCCTTTAGTTACTGCACAGCATTCTTGGGACAGGTACCACCGCGGGCTGCCAAGCATGTTCCCATGCACCTTCATGATTCGCTGACATGGACGGAACAGTGGCAGCATAGAAGGAAGGAATTAATACACGGGCTCAAAAGGAAACCAAGAGTGCCAAGAAAACTGCACTGACTGCAGAGGCTCTTCGGAGCCTTCACAGCTCAGAGGCCTACTGACCCTTACTGAGAAACACTGAGCCTTGCAGATGCTGTGAGAAGAAATCGGGCCCCCAAGCAGGCTTTTTGGCCCCCACTTTCACCAGTGGATGCCCATATACATTAATGCTTGGTTTGATTCTTATTTTTTGCCAAAATATTTCCCAGTAAATCACACATATGCAATGAAATTCCTTAAATCCCTTCTTGCCAGTCACTCGATGTAGTGCTTATGCCTTCACTGCCATAGTTCACTGACAGGAAACGTAGGAACAGTGTTTTCTTTGCAGCACAGAGACTGCAAAGTTGACCTAAAACAAACTCCTGCTTTTCAGTACTGCTAATTCCTTTGTCTCACTGAAACCAACAAGAGTAAAGGGTGGCAGAGTCTGGCCTTTCATACTGCTAAGTGCTTTTCTGTTCCCTGGCCACAATACTCGCAGAGCATATTATTCAGAATGCAAAAATCAAGCCTAAGGAAGGGTAACTTAAACAAGTCCAGAACATCTACAAATGAACAAACATCACTTTGTAAAACAGCCTTAGAAAATCCAATAAAATACAAATACTGCTTAGTCAGATGAGATGAAATGCCTGCCAATGCATGATAGAAAAGGAACAATTTCCGCTCCCAGAAAACACGCTACTAACTATGGCAGAATGCTGGATTTCTGCTGCCCCCTGAGCTATCAGACCACACAAGTGTACTTTGTGGGGTAAGGCACTCTTTGAGTCAGAAATCAAGTGATATTACGGCATGCCATTAGGAAAACACAATAACACGAACTCAGCAAAAGCAGCAGAGGTGATGCTAGGCAATTAAATAACTCCCTGTAACCACTCATTATTCTTATTATTTATATTCATCCAACACCAACCAGGGCTTGGGATCATCTTGTACTGACTCTATGTAAGTCAAGCAAATAAATAGCCAAGATGAAAGGAGAAGAGAGAGAATTTAAAATCTGCAGTCATTCTCCCTTCACGGCTGCCCAAGAGCTAGCAATATCACCTGAAAACTTTGGCAAAACATGATTTAAAACATGCAGCTCTGCTGAAAAAAAAAAAAAAATAGTATAGTGCTGTAACAGGTAACTTCTCTCTTTGAATTGATTTGTTTTGCTCCAGCCTGAGCAAAACAGGTTTTTGTGGGTTCCTGTCCTGAGGATGCACTTGTGCCCTGCTGTACGTCTGTGTGCAGAACGCAGTGCCAGCCCACCCAGCAGGGCACAGCACGGATGTGCACAGCTGAGATGGTTGCATAATTTAACCCAATGCCTCAGCTTACCACGGTAATGCTGGGGTGATGTAAACCTGCACGCATGGAAGCAGTGCAAATTTCAACTGTCTTGAGGTTAGAGACAAATTCTTCAGAGAGCTCAGCAGCTGCCTGCCTGGAGATAACAAGACCTAAGAGAAAGGCCCTTACAGAAGCAAGCCCTTGGTCAATACAATATATTTTTATGTTTTGCAGCATTTTGGATTATTTTCCATTTAATTTCAGCATATTTCAACAGTCTTGCACTTCATTTGCCCATGGAGGCACTGTTGCCCTTCACACTGGGGAAATATGTGTTTTTGCTTATGCTTAAAAGGGTTCTTTCTAAGAAGTGATGTGGAAACAATCAATGTAACAGTATCTGAAAAAAATGTAAAAATATCTGAAAAAATACAGAAGATGAAGTGATGCACTCTTGTATCTCACTATGCGTATAAAAATATTTTGCTTTGATACCAAAATACACATCATGCACATTTTTCCCCCATAGACTTCTAAGGGCAGAAAACCCAACCTCTGACTGCAGTTCACTGCAATAAGAAATGCTCGTTTCAATTATTATTTCTACAGTATTGTTCACTAAACATGAGATTAAACAAGCATAAGGAGCACGTAGCGGTCGTCTCATTTCTTTGATAATGCATCCTTTTTCCACTGATTCCCAGTGCCTGTATTCTTGTGAGCCTTCCCCACGACGTGGCTTTGATTTACTTTCCAACAGTGCCTGCAAGGCCAGCGATGCAGATGTTTGCTCCCAGGACTAATTTCATTCACATGGTTAACTCAAGTCAAGAGATTTGGTTTTACTTAGCACAACCTGAAGGGGATTACTCACTAGAGTAGGGTTGAGCACAAACCATAGGACAATACCACGAGACAAACAGTACTGCAGATTTGCCTTATCTCATTAGGGAAAGTGAGGAAAAAACTGCCTTACCTGACGTTTTCTCTGTGAACACCACCTTGGACTCTGCTGTGAAATTCTGTCCTGTCAGGATCATCTGTTGCCCTCCATACACGAGGCAACTATCAATGTCTTGTCTTTCAACCATCGGAAGTTCATGAGCAGATCTTTGGGCTGTGGACAAAATACAGACATGAATGAAATCAACTCTGTTTTACCAGCACTTTCCAAATCTGCCCAGAACTATCCACAGATTGATCTTGTCATCGTTACCATCCGCTGACTGCCAAAGCAGCTTCTCCAGGGTGCTAAATTTAGGTTCGAGAGGGAAAAATAAACTTACTCAAGGCATTTTATTTGGAAACATTCAGGAGCTGGCTGCAGCGTTCAGCTGTGCTGGCCTTACTCCTTGTCCTTGAAAAAGGACAGCTTGGATGAATGAGCTGGAACTTGCCCATGTCTGTTTCCAAATAAATGGCCAAATTTTCAAGTGCAGGCACACTACAGCACTGGAGCCCAAAAATTCCACCTGCAGAGAGGATTCCACTGGATAACACCAAATTCCTTCAGAAAAAAAAAATAAAAATAAGCCTTTTCTACAAACACCCACTGCCTCCCACAGGCTGTGCCCAATGTCAGCCCAGCTCCGCGCGGCTGCCACAGCAGCACTGTCTCCATGGGCAAACACTCAGAGCCCACACGTGGCGGGGGCAATCACAGAGCGTGGGGCACAGCAGCCCCAGCTTTTTGTGATTCTCTCTATCCCCACTCAGAAAACCTAGAAAGCACCACCTCTCCTCCTGTGTTCCTTCCTCCCGTTAAAACAACCATGTGCAGGGGCAGGAAAGCTTCAGAGGGTTGTGCTCACCTTCCCTGCGAGCCCACCTCAACCCTCTGCTCACACACAGCAGGAGCCGAAGGAAGCAAGGCGAGAATCATTCCCTGCAACACAGACAGCTGGAAGACATCACGAGCTCCCTGTGAGCAGACCAGGTGGGCAGCAGTTTGGGGCTGGTGAACTGCGAGTTCGTGACCTGCACTCAAACTCCTCCAGATTCATCCACCCAACTGGAAAGGCCTCCAGAGGATGCCGCTCATCTATTTAGCAGCTGCCTTGGCTGGATTTTAACTTTCTGTAACAAAAAGCAAGTTCCCAAGAGGCCCTGAGCACTTGTGTCTTGCCTGCACTGGACAACAATCACCGCCGGGCCAAAAATAAGGAAATGTTATCCTACACACTCAGTGTTGGGCTTCCACTCTCACATGGGCAGAGCTGTGGTGCAGGCATCCTTTTCATCATTTACTGCTCTGCAACTTACAAGAGCCGAAAATCTGACAGCTCTTGGCTGCAGAGAGAACTGCCCAAATTCTCGCACTGCTGCAAAACAAAGTTGGTATATCTGGGGGGAAAACACAAGCACTAAACTATGCAGACAGCCATGCATGGGAGAGGAGGGCAAGTTTTCTATAAGGATAAGCTCAGTGGAAGCTCTTCTGCAGCCTGACAACTTTCGCCCTTGTTAGAAATACAAATAAGACAATATCTGCAACTTTCTTATGCCGTTCAAAAGGCATTTTTAAAAATCTATTTCAAACAACCTTATGACTCATTGTTCCCTTCAAATACATTACAACAGCTGGGCTAAGATGCTGCCAATTAAGAATATATATTCAGATTAGTTTCACAGAAGCTGCTAATTTCTTTCACATGGCTGCATGATTAATTCCAAGACCTAAATCCTCACACTTCTGATGAGTTCATAATTGGATTTATCACAAAGGTTTGGAACCTCAAAGGCTTACGAGTTAACAGCAATAACCAAGATCGTGTCTATAACACTCAAGAGAAAATGTAGTTACACTTTGCCTCAAACAATGTTTATTCCTATTCAATCCACAGAGTTCACTTCCTGAGTGTCCCAAATTTTCAAAATTGCAGATTAATCTACATCTCCTACTGACATCAGTGACTTAACAGAGCGCTTTGCAACCTGCCATCCCATCGATCAGTGGTTTGCAAGGCTTTTTCAGGCTGAAGGAGGACAAATTTTAGCCTGGAAATAACCATCTGACTCATCTTAATTACATTTGGACCCAGGCAAGTTGGAAATGGCTGCTGAAGACCAAGTCTCTGTCCAACTTCCATCCAGCACAATGTTTGTGCGCACTGTGACAACCTACCAGGGAGCTGGGCAGGGCTGCAGGTATACTGGGGAACCCCGATGCCATCCTCAGCCAAGCAGGGCAGCTGAGCAACGCTGCCTGGAGTCTGCAGTGTGCACAGGAGTTCTGGGGTTTCCTGACGCAGCCCCATACTGGCCAGCAGCAGGCTGGGGCGAAGCTACATGCAGGCACAGCTACAGCGGGCGTCTCCAGAAGAGCTCTTAACCAGACCCAGAATTAACGACTTGTAGGTGCACAAAACCCACACCTCCTTTAAACGTGCAGCAGAACAATGTCAGTTAGAAATTTTCCAGTTGAGTTTCACAGTGTAGATATCATGTCAAAGGGAAAGGTGGAGGAATTCAGGTGCCTACTGAGCACCCGGCTTCCTCTTGCATGTTTTGCCGGCACTGTTCTCCTCCCACTGGGTGGTTTGCAAACCATTTTCTAAAAAAACAGTTTTAATTTTCCAAGATCTTATTTTTCACCCAGGCCTGCAAGAACATCTCACCCCATTCCCCGTTTTCACTAGAAGGGAGGCTCAAGGTTCAGCATGGAGCTGCCTCAATAGGATTACTTTATTTTCCTCTGCAAGAAATATTAATTGCCAATAAATCCCCTTCCTCTATGGCTCATGATGGGTGGACTGTATGCAATAATTTCACACTATTCCCTCTCTTCCCCCAGGGGTTGACACTTCATAAAGTGACCTACAGCTACTGGAGTTTATGAGCTTTGAATAAACAAAACACTGTTGATTTAACCAGTTGGGGTGTTTACTTTCAATAGCAACAGTTACTGACATAAGGCAGCAAAGCAAATGCTATAGAAATACTCACACTTGGCCTGAAGCAGTGTGTCAACCTATTAATAGGGGGCATTATTTTTCTATTTTATTTGACTGTCTGCAAATCAAGATGTCATGGATGCACAGTGCCAAGAAACACAATGCACACAGTGACACAAGAGAGAAAGGCAGCGGCTGTCCCAGCCACTGCACCACCTCTGGGCAGCCTCAGCTGGAAGGGATGCAGCCCCTGTGCCTCCCACCCTGCATGCAGCACCTGGGGGCCCACGTGCTGCTGCCATGTCACACAACCTGTCCCCTTAGTCTCCCTTCCTGTGCCAGCTGGTGGACGAAGGGTAAAGACTACCTAAACCTCTGTGCTGGTGGGCTGAATGCTGCACATGGAATGCACAAGCTGTGGGCTGACCATAAGCAAAGTGCCAAGGCAGGGAGAAGGTTTTTCTTTCTCCCTCACCTGCCCACAGCACCTACAATTGATCCTTTTTTGGCAGAGAGGCTTTTGGATTTTTAGGAAGAAAGGGTGTATTTTGAGACAGTGACTACCTGGAAACATCTGCTGTGGCTCCAAATGCCCCCCAGGTAAGCGTTACTCATACGAGCCCCGTAGGAAATCTCAGCTCTGCCTGAGACCCCTCTGTCTCCCCATCAGCCTGACTCCTCCATGTATCCCCTGGACGAGCAGCTCAAGCCCTGCCTGAGCATCGTGTTTCCTTCCACCGGTTTGGAGGGTTTCCAGGTGCTGCCTTGTCTTGCCCAAATGCTGACTCGTTTTATGAGGAGTCTTAACTGAAGCTAAATGTATCTTAACAGCTTCCAGAGAGGAACTGTCTAGGCAATCTCTCTTCTGCATGAGCAATGAGCGAGGGCCGGATCCGGGAAGGTAGGCAAAGTGAAAACACCGATGTGACCTGCCGCTGGGGAGGAAAAGGCTTGTGAGCTCTGCACAGAGCAGCGCAGGTCTGACAACTGCTTGCAGGGCAGGCACTCCATAGCCTCCTTCTATCAGCGCAATTTTTCATTCTGCCACATGGCTGAAGGCTTCCATGCAAATTTCTGTGTAGTAGAGGCCAAAGAATAGCAGCTCTGTGCTATCTTGCTGACACCTGCTGCAACTCTGGATCCAGAGCTTAAACTGCCCCGCTGTCCCTACATCTGATCCTATAGCTGAGCACAGTTAGAAGGGATCTTATCCTGGGTGATGAAAAGCAGGACTGAGGACCACCCACAACTCACTGAGGACAAAGCTGGCATCACCTCTAATTACCTCTGTCATCACAAGCCAAGTAAACTAAAATCCAGATACTGAAAGAGGACTCCAGACCTGCACCCCCAGCATAGCAGTTGTCCCAGGCCAAATGTCCAGGTCTCTCTTTGGGACCTCCTGCTCCCACCACATCCCCAGCAGCCCCAGCTTGCTGGAAGCCTTCACACCATGACTCACCAACCCCAACATGACTCTTCAAACCCCCAAAGGCTCCTGGCTCAAGCCACCGGTTCCTGTTGGGTTGGGGAAGGGCAAGGAGAGCTGCCTACCTGATGCTAAATAAAATCCTAAACCCTAGAAGCAACAGCAGCTCCTTAGCAGCAGCATAATTTGTTGTGGGATTAATTCTTCCACCTCAGTGCAAACCTTAATGAGCCAAAGTAAATATCTCTTTCCTCCTGTCACTCTGTGTTTATTTACTGCAAACTGCTTGCCTGTGGGAGGATTGATAGGAGCAGCACTCCTGTGCCCTCTGCTTATCCAATGCATTAATGCCCTGAGAGACTTTGATCCCATTCATCACACACTGAAGCACCCTGAGCAATCTGGGTGGGCAGAGAGGTGAAGGCTGGGAGCTGCACTGTGGGAGCTAGGAGAGGACCAAGGACAGCAGGGTAGGAGGATTTACCTCTTGGTAAGAGCACGGGGCAGCAGAAGGCTTGAGTGAGAACCAAGTACACAAAGCAGATTTCCAACCATTGCGATGTGAAGCCTTGAAATGTGATCTACATGCTACCAAAAAAAGAACCCAGGACGGGATGACAACAGTTTCCAACTTGTTACCAGCACAACTGAATAGCAGCTTGTACAGAGCCATCCAAGAAAAAAAAGAACCAAGAATAGAGGACTTTTCCCCACCTCCTTCTCTGCACATAATTTACTTTATGATGCCCATGTGAAGAAGGACTGACAAGCACTGATGGCAGCAGTGTCAGATAAGTACGATACTTTCTATGAACTGCAGCCAGCTCAACAAACCGGCGTGTGATTAATGACAGGAAAACCATGGCCTCGGTTCACTTCTCTGTCGATCATCTCTGCGGGTATGCACAGCATTTCCCTTTAATCCCTTGTGGAGGAGATCTGCTGAGCTTAAATTATGCTCAGAAACCCATGGTCTGCATAATAGGCTGTGCCGCTTACTTTTACCAGCAGCAGTACTGCAAAGGCATAAACTGAAGGCTTGCAGCCTGCAGAAAGGGTGGGCATTCTCTTTCTGACTCAGATTTTCCAGATTAAAATCTTCTGATTGCACACTGAAAGGGGCAAAAAAGATGTCAGAACTAACTGTTAAATTCTGTGCTTTAGGAGAGAGACAAATTTCACTTTGGGAAAAGCAGCAGTTTTTGTGTGAGCTGCATTATGGAGAACTGCACGACTGCCTTGAAACTGAAGTGAATGGGGGAGATCCCTGAATTCAGCTGGAAACCATGCTACTCTCATAGTAATCTCATTTCTGGTTAAAATTGCAGATGAGTCTCTCTCAGGTGCAAAGAGACCATTTGTATCTATGCTTTTATCTCAGTAATGCAGGGCTCCTTCTTGCCTGCCACTGTGTTCCAGCCAGCACAACTCGCGGCCGAGGAAAAGCGCTCGCTGCTTTGCCAGGACAGCATTCTTTCAAATGACTAGCTCTTTCCTCTGGAGTTATTAATGTGTCAAATATCATAGGCTCAGATTGTCTAATATGGGAAAATCTACTAGAAGGAGAGAAAAATAAAGGAAACTTCCAGGGAAATTGATTGAAGGGAAATAAGATATTTGACCCGATTTAGTGGAACAAAATACTGTCAATAATAGAAACTATTTTAAATTCCTTAGCTGGACACACTGTTCTTCAGTAATAAGCTTTGTTTGTTTTGTTTTTACCACCGTGGAATATCTATTATAAGAACAAGGTTTTAGAATTTTTCTCTCTCTCGTGCCAAGTGTCATCATTTGCATTTTAAGGGATTTGTGAGCACAGCTTAGTTTCAAATACAGTTTATATGAAACAAGAACTGTGAGATGCTTTGGGAAGCTCTGACCACGATCCACTAAAATTAAACCTTGTGACACTGTGAGTGGGAATCCCACCCTTACACTCACATCTCACAGACATTCGCACTGCCCACCGTCAGCAGCACAAAGGAAAGCAGGCAGTCTCTCTCAGGTGCTTTTGTGGCTGCTCTGAAACGCCTTCAGTGCTGCTCCTTCCCCACCCCACGGATATCTCAGCCAAGGAGCAGAGGTACAACTCCAGCAATCAACCACTCACCACGAAACAAGCTTCAGCTCGTAGGGAGCAGCACATCAAAAGAACCAAACAGAACCAATATTATAGATATTGTTGGAATGGTTTGAAAATAACAACCAGGTCTGCAAACACCAAAATTCTCCAGGGGCAACTCACTGCGTGCCTTGTTGTTGTAATGGCTGCATGAGAAGGGCCAAGTTAAGTGCAGGACTCTTCACAACTGAGATTTCACCCCCTTGTGTGACAGCAGCTGTGTTTGCAGCTCTGCGATGGCTGCTCTGATCTCAGACGTGCTGTGGTGATGACAATGCTGTATTTTGGCAGCAAAGGACTGAGCAACTGAGAACACTTAGCTCTAATTATATTCTCAATACTTCCAGAGATTAGGACTCATGCTTAGGTTCAGATTTGAGGTCAGCAAGGAGCAACGATCGGAAGAGATTTTCTCACCCTTCAGTGCCACACCTCCAAGACAGCAGCTTTTTTCTCCTTCCTAAGCGATAGCCTGTTACAATTATCAGAGGGCCTTCAGATGCCTTTGCCTCCTCAGAGGCTTCGGAACAAATCAACAGGCAAAAGGAAGAGACCTCTGTGAGCTGCTGAATGTGCAGGCATGTCTGGATCGAGGTCCATTTTGAGGCATAACTGATCATTTAACAACGTAGCACCTCTGTGTTCCTCCCACACAGCTGCCTGGGGAGGAACTTGCTCCGGATGGTGCTTTGAACCTGTGAAATCCCCTCCTAAAACCTGTCAAGTGCTGAATGTGACACAGATGAGGCAGAACCAAACTGCCCCCTAGAAAAGCAGATACTTCACAGTTCTTGCTTCATTGCAGCTAATGATCTGCTGACACCGGTGGGAGTTTCTAGCCGGGATCGGCTTCTGCTGAGGACAGCACTCAGATGTTCTGTTGGTAGCAACAGCGCTCTCCAGGGAACCCCACTGCTGGGGAAACAGCAGTTATCTGTCCTAAAGCTGCTACTTACTGAGGCTTTCCCGGTGAGACATCATTAACTGCTACCAGACAGAAGAGATCTTCCAGGGGAGGCCGTGGGGAGAAGGGCTCCCATGCAGCCACGTCAAAAAAACAAACAAAAAGCAAACAGTGGTGAAAAAGAGAATCCCAGCAGCACGGAATGGCGGAAACTGGGATGCGAGGAGGAAACACCTTGGAGCCCCCGCGTGCTCCTGCTATACCACAGTTTGTCAGGTTGCCTGAGCTTGTGTGAGCACTGCGACGTGAGCAGGCTGTGAGAAACTCTGCCTGCCACCTCTGTGTGATCCAGTCCGGGTTAGTAGTGCTGGCTGAGCCAAGCCATGGTTTTAACCATCTTCCCAGAACTGGGCTGCCATCAGGAAGCGCTACTTAAATGCAAAAGCCCTGTAAATATGTAACACACTCTAAATGGAAGAGGCTTACTTCTCCAGATCGCTGCACATTCTATTTCCCTGAGTTCAGGAAAATACATCTCTCGCACATCTTTCTTATCTGCCTAACTAACATGTCTTATGTTCAATTTAATTATAATAAACTTATTATTTAATTATAAGAAAGATATAAATAGACCACTTGAATAGTATCTTCACCTTAGCCTTTTTTATGCCTCTAGGACTCATCTCAGTAAGCACATCTCAGAATGAATGCCTAGACATCTTAAAGAAGCTGGTGCAAATAGTCATTGCACAGGCAAATTAGGTGTGCATGCATGGTTCAGAAAATGCAATCTTATTCGGTAAACCATGACTGGATTTCTGCTTGAATGCTCACCAGTGATGGCCACAAATACAGCGTGCATTTGCAGAAGGCTCTTAGAACTGCTCAGCTCACTCTTTGTGAAAGTGGTGTTTGGTTTTCTGGTAGGAGGACTGGAATAACTGCGGTGTCAATGGTGAGTTCACACACAACCCAGGTCCATTCATCTGGACCTGTGCTATTTGTCCGCACAGCTGACGTACGTTACACCCACAGGTTCCCCACCTGAGTAGGTCCCCGTTACAAGCAAAAATAGGCTATTTTCACTTGGAAAAGAAGCCAAGGAAGAAACCAGGTGATCCTTTCCTGCAATTCCTTTCTGCCCACAGAACGTGCAGTTTACTGAATGCTTCCACTAGCAATGGGCCTCTGTTTCAGCAGGGACACACCTGGGGCCACTATCACTTCAGTCATTTGGTCACACAGAGAATCCTGTCTCCCCTGGAGAAGCTGGTAGTTACTCTCACTGCTCTTCACTCCCATCACAGTGCCCAGAAACTTTGCTTTGATGGTAAAACACTCTGGTTGGCATTCTCTCATAAAAATTGCCAGGAGAATGTAGATATCCATCATTATCTCCTTTTAAAATTAACTTTTACTGGTTTGTTGCTTCTTTTTTTTTTTTCCCAATGATTCCCTAGTTACAGTTTGACTTGATTTTTCATCCAAAGTTATCTCCTCTCCTAAGTAGCTGTTATTTAAGCAAGACTGCACCTCAATAAATAAATAAAATGCACATGAGAAACTCTTCAATGACTTTAACATGATTTATGGCAAGACAGGTTCTGCTAAAGGGGTGAGTCATACAGCAAAGGAAGAAGAAAACTGTTCATTTTGTATTTGTGAAATCCCCAAACCTCAGAAAAGACACCATTTACCAACAAAAAGCATCACAGGATGCATGTAAACCAGCAGAGTGGGTGGAGCCCCTCCAGAAATGACTGTGACCCTGGGGGCACCTTGCTGGAGGCCTCTCTTTCTCAGGATCCAGTATGTTATAACAAGTGGGAGGTGCAGGTTTCTCAGCTTACACACTTATAGAATATGCCCCTAGAAATCAAAACTGTGAGTTTTCTTCTGCCTCTCAGGGGAATACCAGAATAGCCTGGGCTTTCCCTGCTTCAACTGCAGCCTACCGAGCAGCACACACCTCAGCATTATCACCTAGAAAAGACAACAACCAGCATGGGCCCAAGCCTCTACACCCAACCTGCACTCTAGTTCATTCGTGCTCCCATCACAGAGCTGGGACCCAACCAGGTCCGGATTCCAAGCCTCCAACCACCAGCTTGCAGACAACAGGATCTGGCTGCACCTTCACCCTAACGACCACTCCTCAGAGCGCTGCACAAACAGCACGATGCACAAACAGCACGATGCACAAACAGCACGATGCACAAACAGCACGATGCAGACACGCCCCGGGCGCACACCATGCGGTTCCCAGCAGATCTCGGGGGTACTTACAGCACTCGATGGGGTTTGATGCTGCCTGCAGAGAGATGATGCGGCCGCTGGACTCAGGGATGTGCACGCGGAAGACAAGCCGGACGCGGGTGTTCTTCCTGCCGATGTCCGTCTCACCCTTACGCAGCTCAATGTCCGCGTTCCTCAGCTTCAAAATCCCCGCGCAGTCAATGCTGCCAAACATACAGGCCATTCAGAGCAGGCACAACACGGTAAAAAAGAAAACTCTTCTCTGCTCCCATTCACCAAAGCCCTGCACAAAGGGAGGCTGACCGGAGCAGGAGGGGGCAATGAGGGGATGAGGACCGCTGTACCCAGCGCCGCTGCTTAACACTGCGTGTTTATGTGCAGGCTGACTTCTAATCAGCCCAGTGCAGCATAGCAAACCTGCCTGCTTACAGCAGAGCCCAGGCAAGAGGAAGTGCCAATACGTAGTTACAGGATCTGAATTCTTCAGCTCCGAGGGTGCACTGAGTGCTGGTGTTAACGGGCACTGCCAACATGTTTTTGTATCCATTTGAAAGATAGCACACATTCCATATGAATGAAAATCACATTTTGGGAGGATAAATCCAACTCAGTTTCTTACCCCCTCACCACTGCTTATATGCAGGAGTTTATTATTCCAGGGTTACTTGTTAGGAAGAGACAGTCATGTTCCATTTAGCACTTGGCTGCTTACGTTTGAAATACAGGCTTTTATTTACTTCTTTGGATGCAGAGGGAAGGAGAGGCTTAGAGGAAAGGGAGAAATTAGGTATATATTCTATTAAAAAGAAGATATATAAAGAAAGAATGTGGATTTTGCAATGACGCAGGGGGGCTTAAAAACAAAGCCTCTCTGCCAAGTTTGTCAGTATCCTCTGAAGGATGGAGATACAGCTCTTCCCTCTGCAGAGCAATCACTCTCGTGCAGTCTGGCAAACATTCAAGCCCGAAGTTTCAGACTGGTGCCCACTTCATCCCTCTGCCTCCATAAAACTGCAAGGAATAATACAGAAAAGATGTGCCTGTGCTTGCCTTTCTGGTAACCTATTACAACAGGAGAGTGCAATTTCATGGCCAGAGCACTTGGCTGAGCTCAGGAGAGATGTTTTCTATTCCATTAACTTGTTGTAAAATGAAATGTATGCTTTTGTTCCGCTGTCTACTGCTCCTTGTTCGCATCCCTGTGGCATAAGGACTTGAGATCTGAGTCTCATTTCCCCCAGCGCCATACCGAACCATTCTGACTTTGGATACAACGGGCAATGACCATACAGTTACTGCAGCAACTGGGGCAAATAACAAAAACATGTGCGTGCTTAGCTGATGAATGATAACCCTGTTATCAGCTTTCTCCCAGGTACTTGTAACTGTCTGCTCAAACTTTTGAAAAAAGGGCCTTACATTCATGTATCATCCAAGTGCCTTGGAAAGGGGAGTCTTTCCAGGACAGACATCTTTATCCATTCAAGTTCCTGCTTTCCATGGGAGGAAGAACTTAACATCCACAACTTTGCTAATAAAAAGAAATATGCTTACGTTGCTTTCATGTTGTTTTTGGGTTCCAGTGGGATCTCTAAAACTTTGGTGTTGCCAATAATTTTTTCATAGCTGGTGGTGGTGACAGTTTTTCCTGTAATGCGATGGACTTGATAGAAAGCATGAGGTTTGAGTATCCGTTCATCTGCTGTCCCAATGAAGATCTGAAGACCCAAGGGTTTGTTCTCCATGTAACCGTGAAGCTGGCAAGACATTCAAAATCAGTTATCACACACACAGCTTGCAAAACCCTCATTTCAGGAAACGAAGGTACTGAGATGCTCACAGATATGGAGGTCGGAAAGTAAGCCTCTCCAAAAGTAATGCCTCCTATTTATTTCCATGGAAACTACCACAGATACAGAGAGCACAATAACACTGCTCGATAGAGAAATTCTTGGCTACAAAACACTGTATTTTCCAACTTAGTCATCATCATTAGCTGTGCATTTTCACCAGTGATGAACAGGAGTCTGCAAGCTCCACTCATAAACATCTGCATGGCCATCAGGAATGTGGCTTGTCCTTCACGTCACCGCTGCTGAGATGCACCACCCACTGCCTCACTGTGCTCACACACTGTTTGCTCACAGCACTGTATTTTCTGCCCACCATCTTCTTCCCCTAGGGAGGATGCTCCCTGTTAACATCTACATCTCCACCCTACAAAGCTCTCAGTCTGCAGAATTCTTTAATAGTCTTAAAAAATATATAAGTTCTTGTTCTTCCAAACTCACTCATGTGGGGTTGATTCCCTGCTCATTGAAATTCATCCCTCCCCCATTTGCTGGGGAAGGATGTTGCCTTCAGCCACTCTTTTTGCCTTCCACTAAATATTATCCGCACAGATAGAGACAGTCTTTTTGTTTTGTGACACAGCGAGAACTTGGCTGAATTAGAGGTAAGACCCTCTACAGTTCAAAGACATAAACAAACCCTTCTATAATAAATAACATGTTCCTAAACAGTATTTGCTTCAAGAGAAGCAAGAAAGCCAGAATTTCTTTGTAGGCCAGAAGACAAAGAAATATCATCTTCTTCATTAACATTCAAAATTACAAATCAAATCATCCTAAATTTCTCACATAACCAAAAATGAAAAACAGACATTTATCTACCACATAGCTAGTGATCTAGCTGAAAGGGAACGTTATAGTCTGAGACACACCAAATTTGTTTTCAATTATTCCATCCACATACAAGAGCTTGATGAAGCTGTGCAAAGCAAACAGAACTAGAAGATCACAAAAAAAGGAAGATTAAGCTAATGGTAATTATGGCAAGCCTTTCTCTTTTCTCCTCTTTTCTTTCTTTTTTTTTTTTTTTTTTTCTCCTTTTTTTCTTTTCAGCAGTCAGCAGGAGGTATCTTTGCATAGAAGGATTAATCCCCCCCCCGGAAGGGGACCACATGCAGCATCAACACGATCCTGGCAACCTTCCTCCAGTATGGCAAATGTAAAGCGACACTCACTCTGCTAAGCTATCATTACTCATCTAGCACATATTTGCAAGGCACACAAGGATGATGTCCGTGCCCCAGAGACCTTACAACCTAAAGCTCCACTGAAGCCAACAGACTTAAGCACGGGTCATGCATGGAAGAACCTCACAACCCAGCCCAGATGCAGCTCAGACATCTACAATAACTCACTCACACAAGCACTCTGCTACGTTGTTAGGAGGGAATTTAGGGTCTGAGGCTCTGTGCCAATGTGCCAGTTGGCAGCGAGGCAGAGGAGGAGCAGAGCTGGGCTCCAAGAGCTGCTGGTACTGGAGGAGCAACACTGCTTAGAATGTGCTAAATATGATGGCAGCCATGAGGAGGTTCAGAAAGAGGCAGAGCGAGGCAAAAAGACGACAAAAGGCAACAGAGGTCTGGACGACAGGTGTATTGGGAACAGACCTGAGCGTGCAAATCATCCCCCGCTTACCCATGAGGAGGCCCACTAAGCCCAGGTCCTACGGGAGCAATACTGAAATGCAGCCTAAGCACAGTTCTTCCAAAACCCAGGATTTCCTGGCCTTCAGCAAAAAGCCATTGTATGACAAAAAGCCATCTTGTCTTTACAAGGGGAGAGGGAGAAAGAGAAGAGAGGAGTTTATTAAGTACGGAGTACAGTTATCATCATGCCTGACAGCACAGTTCCTTGTGGGCCCAGCTAGGACAATGAGAGTGCGCCTTGGGCTGGAGACTGGCTGCAGCAACAGCAATGCAGCATTTGCTCCACCTATCAACTTGCTGAGCAAAACCCCAGTTATCACTGGTAGACTGGAACAGAGGAAAACAGGTAACAAATTACAAAGGAAAATTTGCCCCAAGTGAGGGCAGTCAGTAGCACCTATAGCAGAACTGGCTCCATACACAGGTGTTAATACTGACCACCTTGAAAATTAATTGTAAGTGGTGGTTTTGCTCATGTATAGAGCACATTCCCAAGGTAAAACTATTCCTGGTCTTCTAACAACACACATATATGTAGGTGTACACCCATCTAAATGCATCCACACTTAAAAAAAAGAGGAGTCAACTGTCTGTTCATATGGCAAAGTTTGTGTCACCTGAGGGTCGAGGGCAGTAAAACACATCGTAAAAGACCTCGTCCTTCACAGGACCAGATTTTAAATAAACAGTTTCATCAGTGGAAGAAAGTAAAGTAATTACTTGGTATTTTATGGCACCACGGCAATGCTTGGGGATGACATCATTGTAAATCAAAACAGCATTATATAAATCAAATACAATGAAAAAAAATATATAAAAGTGTTCTGCATCCTAATTTAAAAATGCATGTCCTTATCTTGAGTTAACTGCTTATATTTTACATTTTAAAGGATTATACTGGTGATCATCTAGCACAAGCAATTCCATCTGCCACTCATACACCAAGAACAGACCAGGATGACTTAGGAACAAAACTGAGGATGGACAGCTCACAGAACTGCTGTAGGCACATGAAAGTCAGAGTTTTACACCAAAATTTGCCACTAACTTGCTGCACTGCTTTGGTTGTGCCATATAACCTGTCTCCATCCATAACAGGGCATGGGGACAGGAAGGAATTGATATTTCTTCTTCACAGGGACAGAAAGGAATTGATATTTTGTGCTGCCATTTTCATACACAGAAATGCATTGTGAACTAGAATGAAAGACATTAAAGTTTTGTTTCAGGTACAGCTTTCCTCAAAACTGAGCTGGATGAGACTGGCAGCCTGCACAGACACTCACCTCCTCTGTGCTGGGCATCTACCTCACAATTTAGCAGAAAACTGACATTTCCTTTGAAGGCACAAAGAGGGGGCAAAAGAGGCTCTCAAAGAACCCTATGGAGAAGTGAAGTTTCTAAATAGTAACTGTGAAGTTCATTTTTCCTCTCTTAGCAACAACCAAGCTCCTCTAATGCCTCGGGATTTTCTAGTCCCACTCCTCTGCTCATCCCTCAGAAGGGCAGAGCACAGCTGGCACTGCGGAGCTGCAGCTGCCCAAGGGCAGGGCGCAACGCTGCGCTGCTCAGCTGCAGTGGGAGCACAGCAGGAATGAGGGCAGAGGACCAGCCCTGCACCAAGGTGCTGTCTTACTGCCTTTCTCACTTCTTGCAGTGATGGAAAAAAAAAAAAAGATCTGGATTTCAGTTTCGAGAGAGCGAGAATTGAGAAAGATTTATGAATAGAGAACTCTGGAAGGAAATATGTTTGTGTATTATAAGGTGAGCTATTCACAATAAAACTCCCCCAAACTGTATACAGATCGGGCTGGAAAAAAACCAACTCCTTTGAGTCACATTTGCCACAAGGGGAAAGAGAAGCCAGACATGATGTGTACCTTTCCATACTCTATTTTGGGATTTTAAGATCCTATTTCTTTCAGTTGAAAGATTTTTCTTAAACTTTACTTTTGCATAACTCTTATAATATTAACATGGCCAGACACGGGCTGGTCTGTGACCTGAGGAAATGCAAAGCACTTCGGCAGATAAACAAATAACATCATTCAGAAAACAAGGAGACTTTTCTTGTTCGGTTTTTGCTGTTACGATTGGATTTCTAAACAAAATGGAAATTTGTGGTATGATTAAAATCATCAGCTCACCTCTGCATAAACAAAATTCCTTCATTCTGCACTCCATTCATAGATCAATAGCAGTCAAATTTGGAAGAAGGGGTGGTTAATTGCCATTTTCAGAATGGCACATGTAACTCCACATGCAAAACACATGCAGATGTGCCATTAGAAGCTGTGTATGGGCAGCCCAGTCACCCACTCAAACACAATTCCTGAGGTAGCACTGGCAGCTGCAGCCACTGAGACCATGCATTGGGCACATGAGAGAAGGCATTATTTTTCCTGAATTATTCTGAATTATTTTCTGAACATACTTCTGAATTATTTCAGAACTCGGATCTTATAAACAGAGGAGGCAGACCTGAATACACAACGCTCACAGAGCGAGTTGGAAATTCAAGTCTAAATCAGTCCCTAACTCACAGCGTTCAGGTGAATCAACCCTGCAGCTGCACGGTCTGCATAAACTCTGGCTGCAGTATTTTAAAACACCACTTCACCTCTGCAGCACCGTGTAAATAGCAAATCTCTTTGCAAAGCAAAGCCTGCAGCACTGCTTGGTTACGCTACCTGGGAACAGAGTGATACATTGGCAGCAGTCAGAAAGGTGATTCCTTACAGATTCTGTAGGCGGTCAGCCGCAGGTACAACATATGCATACAAAGAGGGAATTCAGAGAAACCTTTGGAACTCAGATTTTTGAATATTGCATGTATTTACTTGAATTTAAATATTACTGCAGTTTATATAAAACCGTATTATGATCAGGAAGTAGGAAGAGCAGATGGGGAGATAACTGTTCTTAAACAGGGACTCCAAAGCAGCGAGGAGCAGTGACATGCCAGTCCCTACAGGCAGTAAGCACAGTGAGAACTCATCCCTCCACACTCTGCCTCGCTGCAGGGGTTGCCAACCTCTCTGTAATTAGCACTAAACTCCTCTCACCAGCTACCAAGATCTTGGTTTCTGCTCGTATTGAAAGCTTCTGCATTTGCTTTTTTCATTTTTCAGGACTTCAAGTTGCACATCTACTAGCCAAATACCTGGTCTGCAAGCAAACAGCGATGGGCTTTGCCACACAGCAGCAGGAGCACCTTCAAGTCTTAAAGGCACCTCTGGAGAGCCCTTTGAGGACCTGTGT